CAGATTCTCTGCTCCAACATCAACCTCAATGGCCTTCAGTAGCACAATTTGTCACATCGTGCCATAGAGTTGGGGTTCCCATCTCCACCAAGATCGATACTCTCTCCTGAGTCACAACGTGTTGACCACAGTGGTATTCATGATGTCATCCTCGTCCTCTGAATGCTCTTTTATTTAAGACGAATGAAATCGGCTTCCTCAATTAAATTGAGAAGAAGTGCAGCCTGCTTACTCAGTTTTATGTCTTCAGGTGTGATGGGATTGATGGAATTAATAGAGGGGTCCATAAATGAATTAGCATTGAACGATGTCATTGAGGAGTAGAAGAAATTGTTGAAGCTGTACTTGTCCGTTAAGCTTGAAAAACAACTTCTTGACCCTTCCAAGTATCAACAAGAAGTATCAACTTAAGCCTGATATACTGATGGACACTAGGTTTCCAGCATTAAGATGGTCGCCTTAGGTGAGAAATTACATAATACCTTAAAAATTAGTTATTTAGTTGTAACTCTTTCACCTCGATGTATTTGGAATTGTATTTTATTAGTGATTTTAACAAATGTGTATGTGTGGGAGTCGCCTAAAAAGTAATTATTATAAGGGAAATTGGATCTATCACTCAATTTCGTACCTTCCGGGTAAATAAGCTGGAAATTCCTCAAAATAAATTTTCAACCTTAACTGTATAAAATTAGATAGTTGTTTATATTCTGTTTCTTTTGAGCTAGATCTGAAATACATATTTGGAATCAATTTTAGGTTCAAAATGTTCCATTTCGAAAACGTATTTTAATGAATATTGAGTTTTTTCCTTTAATTTTTCTCACGCACCTTGAAGCCCTACATTGACTATTCCTCTTCTAAGCGTAACAATAATTGTCTCTTCCGAGTCTGACGATATAACAGACATCCTCTTACCAATGTTGACAATATTTTCAATTAAAAATTACAAATTATACTTTTAATTTAAAGAAATTTGAGCTGAAGTAAAATTAAAAGTCAATTAAAACTTTTTAAAAATTACCTACGCAATTCTCCCAATTTTGGAGTGCATTGATACTAGCATTTGCATAATTTGATGATTACAAAAAAGTGGACCAATACTAATCCATTATATTAGGGTATCGTACTGATACAGGGTATAATAACAATGTCATTCGATCATAACCATTTCTATTGTTTAAAAAATCCAAACACATATTTTGTGTTAATGCAAAATGGCCAAAAACAAAACCCATGAAAATGTTTAATGACCCACTTTAGTGCAACACACAACGACGACGACACGCGTGTTCCAAATGTTTGTGTGTTAAAACCAACAACAACAACAACAGAAATATATATAAAAAAGTACATACCTAAAAAAGCAAAGTGTGTTTTAGTGCAATATTTTGCCACTTGAAAAATGTACTACAAAAATAACAACAACAAAATGATGATGATGATGATGATGATGAAAACCAACATGCACACATTTGTACATACATACATACCGAGCGAGCGCCCAAAAGGGGAACATTCACACAAAATCAGCAGAAAACAAATGAAACCAAATGAAATGAGCCAATAAAGCCACAAACTACATGTTGTGTTGTCCGTTGTTATTTGGGGTATTACACCAACAACAGCAACAACAGCAACAACAAAACCTAAAATAAAAACCACCACATAGAAGAACAAGAAAAAAGGGGGAGCTGCTGATGTTAAATACAAAACCCCAACTATTTTCTTCTTCCATTACCCATCCGTTGACTGATATTTGCAAGAGTCTTTCAACATTCCCCTGTTCAGTTCTATTCATGTGTCCATATTACAAGAAATCACAAATTTGCTGCCTTATCCCGCTACTCACCTAATGATGGTGCTTTGGGTGGAAATTTGTGGTGAAAGGTTTAGTATTTTTTTTGTTTTGTTTTGTGTGTGTTTTTTATTTGGATAATTCATGCAAATTATAATTACTTCATATGAAATTCCAACTGACCTTTGTGGCTATTTTGTGAGTGTGTATGTGTTTTGTTTTGTGACTTAACACGAAGGTGTGTTGCTGGAAATTGTCAAGTGCTTTCACTATAAGCAGAATTCTTGTCCATAAATGTTATAAATTTTACTAAAGATTCAAATTTAGGAAATATATTTAAAATATATATGAAATATATTTAAAATAGAATGATGATCTCGAAATGATATATATAATATATTTCATTTTCTACATATTCTATTACATATTTTTTCTTGGAATTAGATTTGTGTCAGATTTGGATAATGTTAAGAAAGAAATAGTCAAATAGTCCCCCAGATTTTATAATAAGAATTAGAAATTTCCAAAACACAGAAATCAATCTATGTTTTTATATTCAGTCCCTAATGATGTCCGCCTCATTTACGGTCTAAAAATTGATTTATTCCTTATGCTTTCTCCTCCTCCTTTCCCCATGCGTTCTATTTATTCCTATATGCTTTCTATTTATTGATGACGACGAACACACAATTCAGTTTGAGTAATTAATATACCCTAAAACATTTTTTATTCACGACGTCTTCACATTTCTAAAAAAAAATCAACCTTGCATATCGCATAGCTCCCCCATGCCTCCCTATCAACCATGTTCGTTCTGTTTATAATCCAATAAATTATAATACTTGACGGCGTAACACAATAAGCGAACGGTAGTAACCTTTTAGATGGCAAAAATGGTAAAGGATGCCAAAACAGGAAACAGCAACAACATAAAAACAGCATTTAACCAGAATTGAAATGAACTAGGAAAATCCGTTTCGTATACAGTTTTCATGTTTTGTTTTTTTATATTGTAAAGATAGGGCTGCCAAAACTTTGAATATTTAGAACCAAGTGTTCTTCCATGATTTAAAATAGGAATATGACAATCCTTTATCATCGTTTGATGTGGAAAATGACCAATTGAAAAGTGATACTCTGAGCGCCATATTCTTGCAAGAACTCTATAAGAAAGTGTTGAAATCTACGATCCAAAATAATTTATTTAATGTTCCATGCTGATGTGCTGTCCTGTGCATGACCTGTTTGGTGGCAGACGTTTGGGAGAATAACACATGTGTCCTTTGTAGCGTGCAAAGGTCTGCATCGCTCCTATCATCTCAAAACAATTTACTAAATACCAAAAATAATACACCTACATCTCGACAAATCCTTTACACTATGTTTTTACCCTATCAGAATCATGGTAACTCTATTCTTTAACAATGAATTGTAGGAAAAAAAAAAAAACAGCTTGACGGCGACATCGAGAAACAACGGAACATAGAAACGAAGCAAAAACAACAACTAAGAATTAAACAACGAAAAAAAAAGAAATCTAAACGTATTTATTGTTGTTATCATTCCAACAGCAAGTTTGCAATTAACCCAGGAGCATCAAATAACCAACCAACCAAGCAGTCACCTACCCACCCAAACCTCCCAATCTAACTTAAACTGTTCATTTTCCTGATTGGGTGGCTAGGGAAAGACTTGAAACTATTACTCGCTTGCTTGCAATAAGAGGAAAATTCCCCAAGTGACTATAACCGTGGCATAGTATAGCCAGCCACAGCCAAATAGTTATTACCGGCACCTGTGCAAGTAGATTGCAAATATGAAGTGCGTGGAAACGGAGGGAGGTGGGTAGGTGGTGGTGAAGAATGAATTGTGATCCTGGTTTTTCTTTTGCTCACTGACAGAGTTCATTTTTTATGTATGCAAATTGCATAAACTTCAACCCACCCACCTACCAACCTGTGTGTATGATTGAATGTATATGTTTGTGCGGTGTTATGCTCGGTTATTGTGAATGTGTTTGTAAAGACATGGCACAAGGATTGTGGTGGCGTTTTTATGTTGAAATCAACGCTTGTCCTTGTATTTTAATAACACAATGAACGAGAAGCAGAAGCACCACCAACAACAGTCATAACATAAAACAGAGGCAATTTGCTGTGGAATTTAATATTTAAGTGTAACGAACGGAATATGGCATTCCTTTGCTTCTGATTTAGAGATTGCTGTAGGTGTATCCTAAGTATTTGTATTTCCATTATGTATATGGATTTATTTTTGAAATTGAAGTTTGAATTGTATTTTTATCTTGGAATAAAAATTTGGAATGTAAAACTTAAAAAAAATAGATATTGTTTTTCTGTCTCACCATTCATGGATCTTAAGAAGAAGTGTGGCAATAGGTTGAAGTATGACGTCTTGTGATTATCGTACTCTTATGTTCTGTGTATTATGTTTTTTTTACAGAAGAATCACTCATTCACCAACATATAGAAGCTTGTTAGGTAATCAAAACCATTTTCTAATTTATAGTCCACGACCTAATTGCTTTAGGCACCACCTGTCTATCGGCATACATACTCCCGGGTCGTATGTTATGACCAGTACGACTGCGTCTATGATTGTCAGAAACTCTGCCTTAAATTGATGTCAGATGAACCGAAACCGAAAGTATTTTTAAAAAAACTTTCAGCTTCTTACAACCACAATTTCAATTCTAACTCTTAAAGAGTTGAAATCTCCTTCGAACCCAGAAGGATACTGTCTTGTTCTGTTAAATTTTCCATTTTTTTAATGTAATTAAAAAATAGCCGTGTATACTTCTCTCCATGTATTCAATTTTCTTTGTCCTTTGGCAGAGTGAAATTTCATTGCAAAAGAATAAAAACTTGTAGTTGTATTAATAATTCTTTGTTTTTGTTTTACTGCAAAATTTCGATAAGAGAAAATAAAGTACAGTTAAGTCAATGAACAATGGATTGGTGGGTGGGAGTTGTGTCCCTATTGTACTGCTGCAGCATAACGTTGGTTTTTGGTTTCATTGAACATTTTCTCTTAATTATTTGCATTTCATTAGCATTTATCGAAAATGGTGAAACGACCCCTCCTCACTCTCACCCAAATCTCGAGTGCCTTATTATCCTTAAGCTTATTTGTTTTCTTTTAATTAATGCATTCTTTCCCATTTTTGTTCGTTTCATTTTAGGCTCTTACCAAATATCAGACCTCGCAAAAAGTCACAACAAAAACTGGCATCGAGCAGGAGGAGTCACTGCTCAATGAATCGGCAGCAAGGGAGACATCATTAAATCTACAAATTTTAGAATTAGAAAATGAAGTGAAACAATTGCGTCATGAATTGGAACGAGTACGCAATGAACGCGATCGTATGCTGCAGGAGAATTCCGATATTGGACGCGACAAGTCCGATAATGAGGCGGAGAAGTTGCGTCTCAAAGCCGAGCTGAAGGAACTTAAATTTCGTGAAACACGAATGCTCACAGAATATTCGGAATTGGAGGAGGAGAATATTACACTGCAAAAGCAAGTCTCAAGTTTACGTAGTTCACAGGTGGGTATTTTGAAATTTAAAACCATTCAAGCTTGAATCGCTAACAACGATTTCCATTCTTCTAGGTTGAATTTGAAGGTGCCAAACATGAGATACGTCGTCTGACTGAAGAATTGGAATTACTAAATCAACAAGTTGATGAACTGACGAATTTGAAAAAGATTGCCGAAAAGCAAATGGAAGAGGCTTTGGAAACATTGCAGGGTGAACGTGAAGCTAAATACGCTCTCAAGAAGGAACTTGATAGTCATTTGAATCGCGAATCCATGTATCACATAAGCAATTTGGCGTACAACATACGCGGTACGATTTGTGATGACAACACCAGTGCCAACAGTGATGGAGAAGATGACAACATGGCCTTAAAACGTTTCGAGGCCAATTTGTCGACGGAAATTAAATCACCCGATGGCACCAAATGTGATCTCTTCTCCGAAATTCATTTGAATGAATTGAAGAGACTCGAAAAACAACTCGAATCCATGGAGAATGAGAAGACCCATTTGACGGCCAATTTACGTGAAGCCCAAACCAGTCTGGATAAATCACAAAATGAATTGCAAAACTTCATGGCACGCCTGGCTATTTTGGCCGCTCACGTAGATGCACTGATGCAACTGAAAAAGCAATACGACAACAAAGAAGATTCACAAGAGGCTATTAAACAACAACAAAACGAGGAGAACCTCAAACAACAATTACGTGATACCCTGTCCAAATATAGCAATTGGTTCACCTTGTCCTCCAAGGAAATCGATGGTCTCAAGACTGATTTGAATGAACTGCAGAAGGGCTTGAATTACACCGATGCGATGACATCGCTTCGTAACGAAATTACCAATCTGAAAAACAAGCTACTGTCCACAGAGCAGAAATCTTTGGATTTGCAGAGTGATGTCCAAACGCTGACAAATATTTCACAAAATGCTGGTCAAAGTTTGGGTTCAGCCCGTTCAACATTGGTTGCATTGAGTGACGATTTGGCTCAATTGTATCATTTGGTGTGCACAGTAAATGGTGAAATGCCAACGCGAGTATTATTGGATCACAAGAGTGATGATATGAGGTAACTGCAAAGAAATACTGTGCCATCTATTGTACACTTTATATTTAATGCGAATTTATTTTGAACAGCTTTGAAAATGATTCATTGACCGCCATACAATCACAATTCAAATCCGATGTATTCATATCGAAACCACAAATAATCGAAGACCTGCAGGGATTGGCTGATTCAGTGGAAATAAAGAAATATGTTGACACTGTATCGGATCAAATTAAATATCTGAAGACCGCAGTTGAGCATACCATTGAGCTTAATAAGAATAAAGTTCGTGGTGATGTTTCTGATGGTATGTTTATTTATTGCAATCGAAATACAATATATTTGTATTTGATATAATCTCATGAAACTATAAGGGCTTTATAATTATACATTTCATTATTGATTTAGATGCTAACCTTTGTTTAATTTGTATAATGATGTGAATGTTTTGTGGAGGCGAATGAATATTTCATTAGCCCATTTAAGAATTTTAATAATAAAATCACTTGATAGTCCCGTAAAGATTTCCTCCAATACTTATTTCAAAATAACCTCAGTAGTTTCAATTTGTTAATGGTTGGAAAGAACATTATTCCACAATATTTAATAATTCCTTCTATTTTATTTATTTCAGGTGATAAATACAATCGCGAAGAAGTCGAAGAATTGCAAGAACAGATTATTAAACTCAAGAGTTTGTTGTCAACGAAACGTGAGCAAATCGCCACCCTGCGTACTGTGCTTAAATCCAACAAACAGACTGCTGAAGTTGCACTCACCAACCTCAAATCCAAATATGAAAATGAGAAGATGGTCGTAAGTGAGACCATGTCCAAACTGAGAAATGAATTGAAAATCCTCAAGGAGGATGCAGCAACATTCTCAAGTAATATTATTAAATTGGAATACGCGTGTTGGTCAATTTACTTATTGTATTTTTGTTTTCTTGTAGGTTTGCGTGCAATGTTTGCTGCCCGTTGTGAAGAATATGTCACACAAGTTGACGATCTTAATCGTCAATTGGAAGCTGCCGAAGAAGAGAAGAAAACTCTTAATCAACTCCTGCGTTTGGCCGTTCAGCAAAAATTGAGTTTAACACAAAAATTGGAAGAAATCGAAATGGATCGGTGGGTTCATTTGGGTCGTTAATAATTTAAGAAACAAAACAAAACTACCGACCAGCTTAAGAGAATTTCTTCCCTTACTTGTTTTGTTCATACTATGAATCCCTCTTTTTTATACTCTGTTTAAAGTTCCTTCGTATAAAGTAGCATTGAATTGTTTCTAGTCCCTTTTATTTTTTCGTTTTTTTTATTATTATTGACATCACATCATAAGCCAAGAGTTGAATTACTTTGAACGACCACCCACCATTGCATTCATTATTATTTATCTCAAGTTTCCGCCCGCCCCCTCACTATTCAAAGTGTCCCCACATCTTATAATTGGTGTATGTTGTGTGTGTGGTCATTATTACATATTATTTTGTTGAAAAAGAGTTTTATTTCCGTAACGTGTGTTTTCTGTTTTATTACCATGCTGTGGTTTTATTCATCATTGGTAAGCGTTGACCATTTTAAGAGCTTGTTTATTATTTTTTTGTTTGTTGTTTGTTCATTTATATATACCTGCATACTACACAAGATTCGTATAGACATGCTTAAGCTTGGATTAAAATACATATACACAACAGCAACAACCAATTACATGTCCATTTACATTTCCTCCCCGCATCATGATATTTATTTTTTTTCTTTTCACTCATTTACACGTATTTACCACAAACAACAAGTACAACAACATATCATTTTGTAAATATGAACATATACCATGTATGTATATATATATATATATATATGTATGTGGATGCAATCAATCATTCTGCTGGGATTATGTTCTTATGTATTTCACAATAAAGTGGAGCTTGTGATAAGGGAGAATTTAGGAAAAGAAGTTAATCACATGAAATTATATTTATTATCTCTCTATCCCACTACTTTTTCAATTTCATCATTTTCACACATTTTTCTTCATTATATTTAAACAGTTATTTCCTGGTATTTCAACTTGCTTACCTATTAGTATTATTGTTTCAATTGCATGCTATTTTCTTCTGTCCCTAATATATGACATATATTCAAAGTAATTTGATTCACTATATTAAAATTTGAATCAAACGGATTTGCAAGCTAAAGCTAAACTATTTCTGAAAGCAATACTTGACGTACAAGTGCTTTATTATTTTCATGATTATCTAAAGGGAAACTATTTCTGAATGTAATACTAGATAGTACAAGTTATTTATTATTTTCATGATTTATCTAATTTAAGTTGTTTGGCGGGCTTAGCAGTGCAATTGGGGAACATCGTCCATCCTTTCCTTAGCCTTATATTATACATTTTTAATTCTTAAATTCAAGAAGTAAATACTCATATAAATCCTTCATGTTACTTATGTTTTTTTATAAACTCTTGATTTGGCTTTCTGTCTCTCACCATTCGAAAATAATAGTGTGTAGGTGAATTTAATATATTTAGGTTCGGATTATACAGTCAAATTCGGTTAAGCGAAATCGCCTAATTTCAGAAAATTTTTTTCTCTTAATCAGAATTTTCAATTAAAAGAACTTCGGATAATCAAAACTCGTTGCGCTTAAACGAAGCTTCAATAAATATCTGAAAAATAGTAAAATTTAGTTTGGTAATATTAGTATAACATTTTTAGATTCAATTAACCGATTTTTTCGATAAACCGGCGTTCGCTTATCCGAATTCGACTGTACTAGTACTACCGGAATATGTTTCATTCAGTGTAAGATGAGTGACAATAACATAAATTTCCTTTTATGATTCTTTCTTAAACTACTAACCTAACTTTTGCTTTGATGAAACATTCCAATGCTTTGTTTGTACAGGGAGATATATTAAATTCACGATGTCTGTTCGGATTATGATTCGAGGGGTTTATAATTTCCAATCTATACGAGATGTATATGTAAAATTGACGACTGAAAATTTTGGGCATATGTTTTTAATATGGAAAATGAAAAAATCAAATAAATTTATTCAGTGTTTGATTCCGAACGAAAATGTACTCGAAGGGTCAACACTTTCAAATGAATAATTGAGATTCTCAATTTATGAGGAAAATGTATATATCTATTAGTCGCACATATTATTTTAATAAATTACTTGCTGTATTAATTTGTTACAGTTTTGTTTAATTGCGTAATTTTAGCTCACTTCACTTTTTGATGAGGATGGCTACTAGCAAAATGACAACTATTTGCACACTTCTCATATATATCAGACTATAAATCCTTGTATTCAGACTTGTTCATATCCCGTACACAGTGATTCAAATTTTTATTTAGTGTTATATTAATTACTTTGAGTTACACTTTAATTGAATTTTTCGTATGTGCTTCACTAATATATAACTTGTTTCTCTCTATATATATTTTATTTACAGAGAAATGCGTCACGCACGCCGTCCTATGCCACCACAGCGCGGTACTGGCGGTAAATCATCCTTTTCATCACGGCCCTCGACAAGAAATCCGGCAAATAATAATCCAAATAACTTCTAACATAAAATCAGCGTGCAGCGTAAACTTTTAGCTTTAGTTTATACTCTACTTAAGTTATAAATTTAATTTAATACAACAGCAACAACTACAACACCACTACTAAACTAACACAAGCAAATTTAATTTATGTCGCTAACGACTACAAAATTCCTATGCAATTTATTAATCAATTTTTTCGTATTCCTTTTTATTTTCTTTCCTTTTTTGTTTTGTTAAGTTTATTATGTATTTTGTATTGTAATTTTATTAGTTTTTTTCATTTGGTTGATGGGTATTATTTTTTGAAAGTTTAATTTAAAAGTAAATTAAATTAGTTAGACAAAACAATTAAAATAAATTATACAAAATTTCCCTGATTCCAGCAACTCGACAATAAGAGTTGTAAGGTGGAAATTTTGTAGGCAACCCCCTAGAAGAACATGTATTATTTTTTTTTGATAAAAGAAACGTAAAGAAATTGTGGATACTTTAATCCGATTTTCTTTTTCTAATTGTATCATTTGTTCTATTTAACATATAGACCCCACACACATACACACACTTCCCACAAAAAGCTGTAATGAAACTATTTTATAAATTTATTACAACAAACTACAACTTTTTTGTGTAATTTACATAATGTATTAATTATTATTATACAAGCAAAGAAAAAACAACAACAAAACTGCAAACCATTTATTATTGTTGAAATAATAGCAACCATAACAGATATTTATTTAATTATGATTTAATCATTTTTATTTTTTTTTTTCAAATTTATACAACAAAATAATAGATTATTATTAATACGGTTTGTTACTTACCACACACACACGTCCATTAAATGCAATTGAAACAAAAATTAAATAAATCATTATATTTATATATTTACTAAAGATATAAAATACAATCAAGTTTTCTTTAAGAATAACATTCTGTATTGATGTATTTTTGTTTCTTCTTCAAAAAACTAAAAACTAAAAAACAAAAAAAAAAAACTTGCAAATCACAAACAAAACACACTCGAGTTCTTATTTGTTTATTAAAAAATTAAAATTGTTATTCCATTTGCCTTATTTGACATAAAGATATGAAATACCCAGTCGAAAATTTAACAAAAAGTCAAAAGAAATGTGAGAATAGTTCGACTGAAGTCAATATCTTTCTAAAATAATAAATCCTATTGTGAGTGTTTATGCACTATCGGTATCAATTGAGGGACTATGACAATTACGCTAGATTATGTCACGTATCTACGTTCAATACTTCAGGGACTGCAAAGCGTAAAACATTGAGGGAAACACATCAGCATTGAAGGTAGAACGTTTGAAAAACAATGGGACTTGTTAATTTAGCCTGCCTCTCTATGGGCATTTGTTCTACTTTCGGTTGGGTATGTCATTAAAGTAGTAACCCATTGTTGTGTTTATTATTAATCATTCATAGGGAAAATTGTTTGGTATTCCTCTTAATAAAACATGTTATATAATTTAATTGGCTTGTTTGTACTTTATGCGTTCATTTAATATATTTGTTTGATCGATCTTCAAGAGTAAATTTAAAACGCTGTACGCAAAATTATAAACGAAAATTAAACAAAAAAAAAATCTAAAAATTAAATTGATAAGAAAAAAAATATATAATTTTTTAAAAGCAAATACAATTTTTTGGTGTTTTTGATAGGCAATTTTAGAATGAAAAGAAAAAAATTATAAACAAATAAATATAATTTTTGTGTTTTAAACCAACATATGGAAAAATATGGAATAACAACAAGAAATTAATAATTGGTATTAATTACAAGTAGATGCAACAACAAATTAAAATAATATATAGATATTATGTAGCAAATAAAAAAACAACAAAAACCACATTTCCTAAACCATTGGACAATGTTTTAACCATTGTCTTTTGGGGTTTTTCCAAACTAAATACAAATGTAGTGGAAGCAGTTATTAAATTATTCAACACTCAGAGTAAAAGTATCTTTAAAAAAAACAGAGATCTACAATTAGCAGTAGCATGAATGGAAAACTTTACAAAAACAAAACTTTTTATTTGCTTGACAACAAAATGAAACAAATCCTAAAAGACCACAACTATCACTACCATTTTTTATTACTATCCTAACATTTGTTAAAACTAAAAAGACATTGAAAATTATTTTAATTTTTCTCTATAATTTTATCAACAAATATCATCTCTTTGCATTCTCTTAGAATAATTAAACTCAAAAGTGCTCTTATGTTGATTTTCTTATTTTTCTAATTTATATTAATATTAAGTGAAGTTTTTTATTTTAGTTTTTAGGCATGTTAATAAAAAAGAACATAAACACACAGCCACTTTATAAATAATTAAACAACTAATAGACTCAAAAATCTATTAATAATTATTATATAAAAATATTAAAAACAACACAAACACAGAAAATTTAAATTTATGTTTTTTTCAATTTTGGGGGTTTCCTTATAATACCAAGAGAAGTGATTGAAAAAAGTACTTTAAAGTTTCCACGACAGATGGGGTCTACGATCCGAATAATACTCGGCCAACGTCTGTCACCTCAGCCCATTGTGTAAAAGCAAAAGGGCTGCTAAAACAACAACTTCAAAGTATCCTCAAGTTTTGCCAATGATGATAAAATGGTTACGTATTACCTATGTCCACTGTTTGTTATTATCCATTTGCTTCTTAGTAACTTCTGCTGAAAACGTTTATTATCTTGAGGAAAATATTGCTAAAGGTAAAGGAACAACTTCCATTAAAATACAAAAAGGAAAACAGATGGTCTACGAAAAGTATGTATACTATTTTAGACTCCTTCCTGAGAAAATTCATCCGGTAAGAATTTGTAAACTCTCAGTAACATAACGGCCAAATCTACTCCTCGATACACTCTCCTACAACTTATGCGCAAACAAACAACTTTCCTTTAATACGATGTAAAATATTAATATAATTATATTATTTTTCCATTTTTTTCAAATAGTAGTGACAGTGGTGGTTTACATTTGGATTTATAAAACTAACAAAGTAGAATACTCTCCGAATAGAACAAGTAAAATAAAGCCATTAGTAATAATAAAGATATTGGAATATTTTTCTATGACGCCTAGAAGTATGCAATACATTTGAACAGTAGCTATATCACAAAACATTGAATCAAACTTAATCTCTTAGCATTGAATACAAATTTGCAAAAACCAAAAGATAAAAAAAAACATTATTTCAAATTAGCATATGTAGCACACAAGAAAGAAGAAAACACAGTTACCCTTAAAACTACATTTGTATACCCCGCAACAACCTTTGAAACAGGGTATTATTTTTTGTTGAAATATTTAGAAAAATTAACTGTTATTTGTTCCTTTTTTCTTTATCATTTAAATACACTTTTTAACTACCGAGCCATTAACAAAAGAATTTATGAATAAATAAAAGAAAAGAAGAAAAAACAACAAAAACTGAATCTGACTCATTCCATACCAGAAATCATCGAATTGTCCAAATAAATTTAAAAACAAAAATATAAGAACAAAGTAAATTAAAAACCCTCCCTATAATCGTTTGTTTAAATTTATTCATTTGTGTTTAAACGAATTCTAAAGAAACTTTTGTATATAGAACAACAACATGAACAAAATTTTAACGTTAGAACTTTTCATCATACATATATATGACACTTTTTTACCGTCCCTTTTTTGTAAAAAAAAAAACAAAACAAAACAAAAATTTACTTATATTTATTAAAATTTCTGTTATACAAAAATGAAAAAAAAAACAAAATAAAATGAAAAAGAATAACAATTAAAAATTGTGATAAAACACAAAAAAGATGAACAGAATATAAAACAAACGGAACAGTTTTATGATATACAGGATTAATAACACAAAACAAAAACTTTGCAATTTTATCAAAAACTTTGAGATGTTAAATTTTGTGAAAGAAAAGTGATAAAAATAAGATTCCTCCTCTATTCAGCCTAACCATAATGTGTGTCTAACAGCAATTGTATAAGTCTTTCAATGACTTTCTTCAGGATGTGTCTGGCCTTTATCTTTCTTTTCACAAAATTTCATTTCACCATAAATTAACTGCAATAAACAATAAATAAAAATAAAAACAAAAAACCAAACGACAACATATTGATAACTGATACCTTATTAGAATTCTAAACTAAATAAATACAACAAAAATAACTCTACATATACATAGTACTATACAACTAAACAAAAAAATAACTCAAAGAAAATCCCCAATTTTTTAAAGATAAATTTGAAATGAACTAAAATTTTGACTTCCCCCTAACAAGGAATATCTGGATATTTGTAAATTAAAACATAACCTCCTATCCCCCCAATTCCCTAATTGTGAATATTAAAAAATAAATAAAAACAGTAATGGTTAAAATATCTAATAACGAAACAATGTTAAATGAAATAATTTTTAATAAAAAAAAAATAAAAACAACAACAACTTACAAAATAATATTTAATTGGGAAAATAACATACAGTAAAGTAAAGTAAAAAGAAAAAAGGAATGATAACAAAACCACAAGAAATAAATATGAATATTATTGTCTAATGGGATATTGAATAAAGAACAATATGAGATAACATATCTACAAGGTTTTTTTATTAGTGGCTTGAACTATTTGATTGAAAGGGGGAATGCGTTTAATAAACCCTATGTTGACGGGTTTAATAATAAATTATGTGAATGTCGTGTCGGTATTAAAAATGGGTCAGCTTTAAAATTATATGGCTATAACTTTATTCGGTTGATTGAAATCAGTACAAAAATCTAGTTTATTATCAAAAATAGGTTAAAAAATTGCATGTCAAAAATTCTCGTGTTGTGTTATTTAGTATACGGTCCAATAAACGCGTACGCAGAAGTCCCTCAAGGACTCGAGATAGACCATTCAAAAACTTGACATACAGCGAAATTCTTCTTCTGGGTTCTTAATAAAGGGGAGACTGGGGCACCTTCGGCACTTTTTGTTTAGAGCTATATATCTCAGTACTTATTCAACAGATATAAAAACTTTATGGCTGATTATTGACCTCTGTTACTCATTTATAAAAACTAGTACCAAAAACATATAATAAATTAGTATTAGTTAAACATTTTTTCAGTTTTGTAAAAAAGTCAAATTCGCCCGGGGTAGCTTCGGCATTTAATGGGGCACAATGACTTTCATCCTCCAGTTGTGTATGTTTACTCGATATTTGGTATCATTTGTTACCAAATTTTACTGTATGTTGGCTTTTTACTTCAAAGTCCAGTAAAAGAGAGTGTAATGAGATATCTAGTTTGACAATTCTATGCTTTGAACTTATTGAATGTTACTGTGTAAATTTCTTCTAGTTAGATTTATTCATCGCAGCCCAAAAGGAGTATTTCATCTGTCAACCGAACTGGGATTGATTTCAACATCTGGAATATTTTTCAATTTTTTTTTTAATTTATTATGAGCTATAATGTGAATTCTAAGATAATTTTCTGTATATACCCATAGTGGTGTTGGGCATCATAAAGTCGGGTTCGTTCCAACATAGCCCCGTCATTACTTTTTTTTATATACAATACCAATCTTCAAATATGCCATAATAACAGTAGTTTTTCTATTTATTTTCAACAAGTGCAATACAACTACTAAGAATAGTCAAGATTAGCTTAAAAATGCAATTTCATATTTCGTCGATTATTATCTTAAATCAATGATAACTTTTCTACGCGAGCCAATAGCGGTGAATCCGAATGATATTCAATACTACGAACTTGGAAATCACCAACCTGATTCGTAAGACATTTCAACGTGGATATTGAGAAACAACGAACCGGATAGTTGTAATAGGTGAAGTATTGACCATTTACTGCTATTATGAATGCCTTGTCTCCAATACCAAATGCAATTTTAAATAATTTGCCACGCTGAAATGGAAATTCACCCTCGGTTTCTTCATCATCAGGAGAGTAGCTAAGGAAATATAAATTTCAAATTAAACCGTAGAATGGAAATTAAAATGCCTCAAAAATACCTGCAATCTTCTCTCTGATAGCTGCGTATTACAGTGGCGGTATTGAAATTCACATGGAATTTTAATATAACACGTCCGGTGTCATTGCACTGAAAACAAATAGAAAATTCTGTCGTCGGTGGTCCTTTGGCGATACACTCCATGGCAACCACAGTTCCTGAAAAATGAAAAATACGCTTTTCATTTTTATTCAATTAAAGGTAGATTCTTGGTGACTTACCCGCCTCATATTTCCGTGGCACATCACTTTGAAATGCCAACTTTTCGGTGCATATCAAACTCTTGGGAAAGACGAGCGGAAACAACATGCGGTGATGGAATTGTGTTATCTTCTCAAAATCTCCATAAATCATGACATATTGAATTTGCTTAGGGAATTTAACAAATTCAAATGTACCATAAATGTTATCGTTAACATAAATTTCGAAACATTTCTGTAAGACGGCAATGCGGAAAGTAAATGTTTGACCTATAATAAAAAAGGAATAAATTTTAATTGGAACGTATAAAATTTAAATGGTTTTAGAGTGTATTCTACTAGCGCAAAAATCAAATTAATATTGAAAGCTTACCTGGCACCAGAGGATTCTTGGGTCCTTCACATTTCCAATTCTTTGATATTTCTTCCTGTTGCCAACCTTCACCAGGTTGAAACATAGAGCGAATTATTTGATTTTCTCGAAAATTTGCTTCGAGTTTTAAATAAACCGTTTCGCTTTCATTTTTCGCATTGATGTTGTCTGTCAAATCCAATGAGATTCTAGGAAAGGAAAAACGAAGTTACTATTTATATAATAGTGACTGAGAATATATGTTAACCGATTTCCTGTAATTTATCGATTTCTAATAATAAACCAAACTTCCTACTTTGTTGTCGGTTTGATGGTCGAGCTGGTTTTTTCCTTTGTGTGAAATATCGCATTGTCATGGAGCACAATGATTCGACATCACTTTTTTTACAGAACACCTTTCATTGGATTTGTCTCGTTTTCGAAGACCGTGTTCGTATTTTTTCAAAATTGCTTTGTACCATCTACGCGAGCATTTTAAGTAGAACTATTCTTAATATTGGCCATATTGTAGACATTCTGACTGCAGCTTCGAACTTGATAAAGATTTATATGAATATTACGGTAACTCTATAGTGCATAAAGAAAAACATTTATATCTTTGTATTAAAGGTTATCTGATGTCACATTTTTGCATTCCAAATTGATGAGGAATATTTTTGTAAAACATACTCTCCATATATCTCAAGTCCTTGAGTGTTTTTTGTTTTGGCTTTACATTAATGAACCATCATCTAAATATCACAAGAAGAGAAACCTAGATCCGGTGGTTACTTCTGACGATAAACGTGTATCTTGTTCTAGCACGATTTCTTTTCCAATGAGAATTTGTGTACTGTGGGTTTTCTTAACGGTTTAAGAAAATAAGGACGAAATTGATGCAGAAGGACTCTCGATAAAAGAAAATATTTTTCATTCGATTTGACTGAATTAATGTCATCTCAAAAATAACTTGCAATAGCCCCAAACATAGATATAACTCTAAAGAAGATTTTTTAGAGTTAGCATCAAAAAAGGAAAAATTTCGTCATTACACAAAAACTTTACCTAGGAGAATTTGTCCTTCTGAATTAATAATATACTCTCCAAAATTTTTCGTTCCCCCACGGAATTTTCCCCACCCCCAAAATCTTGTTCCTCAGTGTAATGAGCAGCAAGAATCTTAAGGTTTCTGTCAAATCTCATTTTGAACCCCACCATATTTTTGGTATTTTGAAGGCCGTATTATTGGTTCTCGTTAGGCTAAAATATGTATGCACATTATAAATATTCACACATTTTAAAATTCATGACTAAACACATGATATGTCGTCGAAAATGTCGTTCTTCCCGAAAGATGAAAACAAAACAAAAATAGTCTGAATCGAGTGTACTATGAAATATTGACAGAAACAAATAGAAAATTCTTTCTGAAAATATATAAAAGAAATTTGAGATAAAGAAGACGTGTTTTCTTGGTTAAAATAGGTAAGATTAAAATAATATACAATTATTTATATCATTAATTTAATGCATTGTTTTACTCTTAGGATGGGGCAAATAAATGGCAATTGGTGAAATATTTTAAGTAATATCCGAAAGATGTTTCATATTCCAATGCATTTTAATTTTGTTGTTTCGTTACTGATGATGTTAAAATGGAGATAATCATTACGCCAACTTCTCGCTTACCATGTCGCCCAAGTTGTCGTGCATGAATATTGCGACACTTGCGTGAAAATTTCCTCAACGATTTCACATTGCTGTCTGCAAAGTGTCTTCAAGGAATTGCCATTGTCTTACACGATTCGTTAATGTTGTCTGCAAGACACTTTCTACTGGGTTGTTTCAAATACACACTTTTCAAAATTTCTGTTTTTCTGTCATTAAACTGTGAGAAATATTGTAAAACATTTTCATTTCAAATTTTAAAGAAGAAAAACATATTGTATTCAATCCAAATATGCTTAATAATGTTATATTTTCCCATATAAAAATAGATTTGCTTCTGTTTCGCCTATTGTCATAGTATTGGTCACATATTTCCACTTCTTCCGAAGTTTTGTCAAAAATATCCTCATATTTTGTTCAGTGTATGAAAACAAAAACAAAAAGGAATGAATGACAATTTTGAATTTTTTCAAATGTTTCTCTTTTTATAATAGTGTGTGTGTGTGTGAGAAATTTGACACCCATCGACAGCCCATGGGATCTATTTTGAGCACTGCTGATATAGCTCCATGTTTTTACATATCAAACACATAAATATTCCGCTCCATTTTCAGTATGTTAAAGGTCTTTGTCGAGCTTTACAAGCTTACTGGTATTTGGTATATTGTTTTGTCAAAGGTAGAAACTCATGGCAAACAATTTACAATGTTTTGGCAGCCCCCCATAGAAGAGTCCCGAACAATTTTATTTTTCAAAAAACACATACAATAATTGTATTCGCTATTGTTAGACCAAATTTCCATTGTAACTGATTTTCAATATGTGTCCATTTTATAACTTCGTAACTCAAAAAGGGTAATTTTTTAAGTGTTATCTTTTTGGAAACACTGGTTTAAACAGCTCACGCACGTTTCATGTTTTGTTGCACTGTCTTTAATTTTGTCTTTAATTTAATCTTGACAATTGGATTCAACTAGATGATGCCGAGATGCGAGTTCGATGAACATTTTATTTCACGTTCGGGACAAGTCAATTGACCGCCTAGATTATGCAATGTAACCCCTTTAAACGGCATTTATATTAGAACTTTTTGCCGATTGACATATTGAAAGACAACATTTATTCGTGAAATACCTCATTCGTAAGCGGAAGGACCACTTGACTGAGCTCCCGGTGGATATGTTTGTCACAGTCAAAAGGAAACTAGAAAGACCCATAGTTCCTTTGAGAATATGCATAGAATCACTCCGCCCGTCTGACTGTCCATTATAAATTGTAAACAAAGTGCAGGTCGCATTTATGATCCGAATACGATGATCATTTATTTGGTCCAAGGACGAATATTGAAATAGGGAAAAATCGTTGCAGATTTACATACAGCTCCCATATATAGTTTCGTCCGATTTTAAGTAATGGTGCACCAAAGATAAGCCGATTGCCACAAAATTTTACACAACATATAACCTAACGTGTCGAAAGTTTTGTTGAAACCGGTTCAGATTTAGATATAGCTCCCAAATAAAGGTTCGTCCGTCTTTAAATGGTGCACAAAAGACACAGAGTTAGACCGATTGGCACAAAATTTTGCATAACGTACTGAAGTTAGTGCAGTCTAACGTTCGTCAAATTTGGTTGAAATCGGTTCAGATTTAGATATAGCTCCCATATGTATTTTCGCCCGATTTTAAGTAAATGATGCAGCAAGTACACCTAAGTCTGCTTTTACACGGTCTTTTTGTACACGGTTTTGATATAACACGGTTTGAAAATTGAATATTTTTAATTTTTTTACACGATTTTATTCCATTTAACACGATTTGAAATTTTATGTACTTTAATTTTTTTGTGAAATTTAATTTTTGCGAAGTATGTTCATATCAAAAAAAAGTATTTATGAAAGAAAAAAGTCTGAAACCATCGATAGTATCGATAGTTTGCGAACACTAGCTTAAAGATTTAAGTGAATTCTCCTTTAGCGCGTACAAACAATTTTTAGTGGTCAAAGCAAATGTGAATAGCACTAATTTAGGGGAATTCCCTTTTTACACGGTTTTTTTTACACGACTTCTTCTGGAACCAATCTACCGTGTAAAACAGACTTAGGTGTATAAACCTAACCTGTGGAAAGTTTCATTGAAATCGGTTCAGATTTAATGTAGCTTCCATATATATTACGTTGGTGCGTATGAAATGACGGATTCTCTTTACATGCAGACGTTTGTCTCCCTGTTTTCGTTATACTTTTGTCTTTGGCATAACCTCATTCATAGTCGTATTGTTCGTTGCCAGAGACTCATTTCAGCAAAATAGGTTTTCTTGGAGGTCTTCCCTTTTGTTATTTCTTTTGAATTTATTGCCGATATGAATTCTGGCGACATTCGCGTCTTTTTCTTATATGAGTACAAACTTGGTAATAGTGCTGCAAAAGCTGCACGCAACATAAACCAAGCGTTTGGGGAGAATACGGTTAACGATTGGAAAATGCAGCGTTGGTTCGAAAAATTTCGGACTGGCGATTTTTCACTGCAAAATGAGCCGCGCGGAAAACCCAAAACGTCTTTGAAGAATGATGACCTGAAGGCTCTAGTAGAAGCGGATCCAGCCGTATCCACGAGGGAACTTGCTATCAGAATGAAAGTTGATAATACAACGATATTGAGACACCTTTCTGAGATTGGCAAGGTTAAGAAGATGAACAAGTACCGCACGCACTGACAGAGCGAAATTAAAGAATTGCGATTTTAATTGTTTCATGCATTTAGAGCTGTTTTGAACTACTATGAAAATGAAGACAGTCTAAAAAAATCGATATCAAAGTTTTTTAATTCTAAAGACCAAAAGACCGGCATCTACGCTTTAAAATCTCGTTGGGAGAAGTGTATTGAAGCGAATTGAGCATAGTCTGATTGAATAAACAGCTTTTGAAGATTGATATACAGTTTTATAACATTTCATACGCACCAACCTAATATTTTCATCCGATTTTAAGTGAATGATGTACCAAACTCCCCATGTTTGTCAAATTGGCATGAAATATTGCACAATGTGCCCCGTCCTAATACTTTCTTTACAGGATTTTATTTAACGATAGCAGATAAATTTTTAAGGGTTAAGTTGTCCTCACTTTTGGGAATATACAAATTTCGAACCGGAACATAAAACCGTTCAAATTTTTTATACAGTAAAAACTCGCTAATCCGGATAATTGATTGCAGACCCCAATGCGGATTACCGAGATTTCCGGATTATCGAGTTTTATTAATTGGTTTAAATTTATATTAATTTGGTGATAATTTAATTATTTTTATGTTTTTATTAAAAATGAAAATTAATCATTTCAAAAATATGAACATTGAATATAATAGGTACCATTTTCAATTAAATTTGCAACGATTTTTTTATTAAAATAAAAAGTAACGTATCTTTACAATCCGGATTTTTGAGTCAAATAGGGCTGTGAAATGCAGTCCGGATTACCGATTAATACGGATTGTCGAGGTCCGGATTATCAAGTTTATACTGTATTTCAGATTTTTATAGCTGTAAAATATATACAATATATTTTCTTCATTGGTTGTTTAACCTCAGTGTTGAAATCGGTTGCCGTAATCTATCAGCTGTATTTTAAATTAATATTTTATCCAGTGGACGCTAATGCATTCAAAATAATATAAAAATTAATTAAATTATAACTAATTTTCAAAGTTAATTTGTTATTTAATTAATTGCGTTTATATCCGATATATATAGCGATCCGTACTTATTTGGGTTCGGTTTCACAATTCCACTAAAGACCAGAACATGCCCGAACGGTACATCTGTTAACACTTTTCCTTTCCAAATGTTCATATCGCTGCGTCCGTTTAAATGCAACCGATTTTTGCCGCTGATAACCGACTACTGTTCAAATTATGTCTGATTATAATTTTGTTTGATTTTTGCTTTATGTACACGATTAGAGGAGTCGTTTTGTGGATGTTCGAATATCCTTGTTAATGTTTATGTCAAATCATTTGATGGTTATGCAAAAAATAAATAAATAATAAAAAAGGAACAACAACAACTATTAAATGTTCACCACTTAATTTGTGAGACTATGGGGTAAGAACTTGCGATAGTTATACAGTGGGCTTTTTTACAATTATAATTTTATATGTCGGAAACTAAATGAATTGGAGATCCAAATAATGTTATTGTGGAATTTTATAAAGAATATAGAATTGGTCATTTGATTTCTCTGAAATTCAATTTTCTAAAATATCCCTTAGGGGAGAACTCATGAAAAAATATTAACAATTATTATCAATTGGGATTTCCAGCGAATTTCCACATTTGATATGCAGAACAAAAATAAACATATCCCGTACATATTTTTTACCCTCTACCATAAAGTGAAGTTTATATTGAATTTGTATATCCGTTTGCGGAATCCCCACAATACAATTGATCAAAGTACCATTCTATGTCGATTAAGCCATGTCTAGTTTTCCAACCTCTTGGTGCGTACTTTGATATTTCATTTTCTTCGAGCATACAAAAACTTACTAGCAAACAATTTTGAGTAGTATAGTATCCATGTAAGGGGTATAAAATATTCGACACGTTGAACTTAACTCCATTTTTAATTGTTTAAGAAGCAAATCATGTACATAATTTATTTCCAATCGTATAAACCGTCTAACAAGGAAAACTTTTTCCTGCATGGGCCCACAGTTCCACCAAACAATTTCCCATTTCTTTTTATGCGAATTCAATCCTTTCTTATAGTTTTCCTTGAGTTTGATATCCATAAATGTCGTAATTCTGTTGTTTCATGGGCAAACGACAAAATAACTTCAAAAAACTTGTTGTTATTTTCTGTTGACTAACCAACCAACCAACCAGCCAACCAAACAACAAACCAATCAGCCAAACAAGCAACCAAACAGCCAACCCCATCCAGACATGGCTCACAAGTCATTTCAATTTCACAAGACTGTTGCGTGTTTTCTGTGGCCCTACCAGTGTCAAGAAACCTAAACACAAAACTTGGCTTGGAAAAAGGCCACCAACATGAAACAAAAAAGAAACTATTTGTATTTTCTATAAAAATAATATAATTGAATACTGCTCATGATATATACGAGGGCAAGAGATGAGATTTACAAATGTTGAACAATATTCATTAGTTTTGAATAATAGAATTTAGAGAATTTAAATATAGAATTTGCAGATACATTTTCGTCCTTTTCCAGTAAAATTGTGTAGCTTATTTTCTTTGAAGTCTTCCATTTTTCAGTCACACTGCATTTCCAAAACTTCTCATAAATCCCTCGACATATACAATTTTTTTCAGCCGGGAAATCCCTTCCAACACCATAAAAATGAACAGGTGGAATAGCACGTGCATGGAACAAACTTCGATTGCATGTCCTGTCTTAACTTTTGCCTTCCACAAAAAAAATATTTTCTTTTTTTAAGATTTCAAATTCCAACTCACATTCGTCCTCTATTGTTGTTTATTTTTTTATTTTTGTTCATGCCAAATGGAGGACACTTATATCTTTAGTCAGTTGGTGTCTGGAGAAATTTTCTTAAGACTAAATATTTCAATGAAGATGTTGCCTAAAAATTTTTTATTAGGGTGGCCTTGTTCACTAATAAGTTCATCTGTTGTAATGAACCCATCATCCGAAAGACAAAACTCCATCACCTTCTCATCTTAGTTAATGTTCCAACTTCGCTAGGTTAGTTTTTTAATCCCCCTAGCATTACTATCAAAAATGTGCCTCTCGAACAAATTCTGTACCAATTTCATTTTTGGACAATTTGGAGTGGGCACATTGTAATATTTTTCTAAACCTAAATCAAGATCGAAGTGTTCATTTCACTGAGCTTAGAAGACAAAACCTCAATATGAATTCTTTTAACTTTCTAGCCTTTCTAGAACGCACAAGAGGCTTCCACTCATTCTGGTACCCAACAGTTAAAATTTTGATGAACTATAAACTTCTAATACCATACGAATGTGGGGACACACGGATCATTGCTTGTGGTACCACTTATATTGGTTCACTTTTAAGGCAAAACTTATCCATCTCATAGGGCATAGGGCATATTTCTACCAAACCTACATTATTTCGGATTATGATATTGCTTGTATTACCACAACTAGAGCGGAAATGTCGCGCTGAGGGCTATGGAATTTTTCATAAAGTTCCGATTATTTTATAGTTTTCGGTGGTGATCGGATGATATTTTGGACTGGTTACTGGTCGATTAATTATATAATTGTCCAAGACGTTCACATCTGAATTGACAAAATTATCATCATATTGCGTAAATGTTCACTCCGGAAAGACATGATCCTGAAGAGTTGTGAGTTCATGAATCAGAAGCTATTGGCCCTTAATCTGTTAACTAATTCTATTAATTAAAAGGTCGATTTTTTAAATTATCTGAGAAATTTGCAGAACAAAAATTCTGATATAAAAAAAACACACACACACACATTTGATGTTACTGTTAGATGATTGCTTTTGGTTGATCTAAAACTCTTAACCCTACGGCCAATAACCGGGTACTTTTTTACCTTTTTTTGAATAAAAATGCTGTAAAATTTTTAATAATGGATGGCGTTGTTCTAATAAAGATATTTGTGATATGGAGTATCTTATAATGTTGTCTTTGAAATAATTGTTTGGTTATAACTGAGTGGTAAGTTGCTCAAAAGCGAAAAATCAGCAGGACTAACAAAAATCAGCAGAAGGACAAACAATAGATGTATTCATTAACATAGGAAGATTTATAATTAGAGAGAAAGAAGCGTGTAAAATGTCATCTAACAAATAAACTACAATAGCCGCAAAGATATAGAGATTTTTCTTTACGAACTTTAGAGTTACAGTCGAATTCGAATAAGCGAACGCCGGTTTATCGAAAAAAAAATCGGTTAATTGAAAGTAAAAATGTTAAACTAATGTTTCGGATGAATTTTCAAACACTTTGCTTCGCTTAAAAGAAAACCCGGTTAATTGAAAATCTGTATAAGAGAAAGACTTTTTTGTTGAAAAAAAAAACACAAATATATGGGCAATATTGCCAATTTTTTAATATTCCATTTTCAAAAAAACAGCTTTTTTGTTATTGTGGCACATCAATGATTTTTGGTACACATATAGAGAAAAATGTTCTGACTCCGAAATCGTTCGCGATCACATTTTTGGTTGATGCGCGCAAAAGTTATCGAGGTTTTAATTCTGGGCATAAGAAAAAAATCTTAAAATTACGTCGTTTATTATATTGACCAAAAACGTTGATATATATCTTCCTCCGTAAAATAAGAATATGAATATATTATAATAATCACGATAAAGTAGCACATATTCGCGAAATATGAGAAAAATAAAAAAATATATAGCAGATTACATCAATATTTTCAATTTATTAATGACATACACACACCTAAAAATTAATTTAAAAATATCTACATAATCTAAACACCATGATGAATCAAATGATATCAAAATCATACAAGTCCGTGTAGCGGTTTCTAAATCACAGCGACAACAAAACAAGATATTGAGGAAAAATATTTGTTTTTGGTTCGAAAAAAAATGTCATCATATTTATTTTTTTAATTGTATACATACAATAAATTTCAGAAAAATATGTTGGAGTTATTCTTCTATTTTACCCGAATTTCGCAGAAAAATTGACATATATAATAATAATCACTTTTTGTGTATAAGTATACGCCTTGCGGATTATATAAAGACCCTTCCGATAAATCTTAGAATTCTATAAATAGGAATAAATCTTAAAATAAAATAATATTATGAAATATACATTTTAAATTGCGTGTAAATCGCGTAATTCTCAAAATCATTTGATGCGCATGCGGTTTCCAGGAAGCACTGAAGTTTATCTTCCAATCCATATATATTTTGCGAAATTTCATTTGACGGCTAAGATGTGCCACACGTTTCATTGAAGTACCCAAAAAATCGTAAAACGCGAATAATTTCCGAAAACTCCATATGCCATTAACGCGCATCCGATTTCGGTGTGCACCCTAAAAAAATACATCGATCTATACCGATTTCAATGTGGTCCATTAAAAACCATGGATGTGCCAGCTCACACTATTTTTGAGATAAATTGCGTCTAAATCGCGTAATTCTCAAAATCATTTGATGCGCATGCGGTTTCCAGGAAGTACTGAAGTTTATCTTCCAATCCATATATATTTTGCGAAATTTCATTTGACGGCTAAGATGTGCCACACGTTCCATTGAAGTACCCAAAAAATCGTAAAACTCGAATAATTTCCATGCCATTTCAATGTGATACATTAAGAACCATGGATGTGCCAGCAAAATCTATGTTTGAGATAAATTGTGTACATCTCTCTTTCGGCTGAAGTTTTTAAACTTCTTTTTTCAAAAAAGATCAAAATCCGTATGAGGTCATTTATTGAAGCGGAAATGATACACAGAAAACGCAAATAAATCCGCGATATTTTCAAAAACATTTTTTGCCAAATTTCGTGTTTTTGGAAGGTCAGTTCTCGCCGTTCTAGTAGATGGATTTTCACGAAAAAGATTTTATATCATCCGAAACGTAAAAAACCTTATTGATCGCGGGTACCCATATCATTCAGTTGACAGATCTAAAAATTTGGCCCGAAAAATAGGTTTTTTAGAAATTTGATCGCACAAAATTCGCACCTTCGGATGAGTATTACTCTGAAGCTGTGCATACTACATACACAAAATACATATCAAATTACGAAGATTCATGACTACAATAATCTTATAATCGATTTTTATAAATTCATGTTGGCGTATTAAAGCTAGAAGTAAAATTAAAAAAACACTCAAAATCGAGCTTCAAAATGTCAGCATCGTTTAAAGGTAG